CCTGACATGAGTCTGAAATAGTTTCATGAATAGATAGTTAATCCTGTTTTCTCTTCTATCGTGGTCTACTTCACCCTCTCGTTGCCACAGGCTTTACGTGACAAGAGGTCAGGTTCATGTAATGTGAGAAAATGTACATGCGCGTTTACTTCAGCGAGTTGGTACTGATGGATGCATGCCACTGTGTTTATCTTGATGGTCGGTATTTGGCTTTTTAAATGTTCTCTGACTGAATATTATTTCTGCTAAAAGGAGTCAGTCCATGTATCGCGTCTTCGGAGAAGGAAAACATACCACGTATTTCATAAAGACCATTGAGTGCATATTTTCAACAATAAAATTGCGGATGCGTGTGTGTGCTAGCGTCATAGACCTTTTTTCTTAAGTTTCTAAGTGTGTTTTATATCGGTACGAACACTAAAACACCGAAGTGCTTTGTTACCATTGCTTATGATGCACTGGTCAAGACACGAATAATGTGCAAATCCCATCGGATACGTCGTCCAAAGATCCCCGTTAAACAGTGACACATACCCGCGGGCGGGTATGTGCCACTGGTGATTGACACTTGATATCTACCCTGGAACGACGAGAACACACATGAGTAGATTAACACGTGAGCGTTAGGAGAAGCTTGACATCAGCAGTGCTGACTCGTCGATAGGAAATAATAAATCTTAGTGTCTATGCAGGAATCCAACCCATGCATTCTACGCACCAATAAAGCATTCTATACCACAGAGCCACGCCAGGTCTTGAAACTACTTTTCATGTACGTGCTATTAGTAGTGAACAATCAATTCATGTTGCAGCACTGGCTATCAAATTTTATAAACATAAGATACGTACTGTTTCAGTACCGCGCTCACGTTGGGCTAAGGTCAACTGTAATTAGATGTCGTGGGCTGAAATTGATTTATTTAGCAGTGTCAAGGGTACCACCCTCTCTAGCACGAGTGCATAATATCAGCTTACCTTTTCTGGTGTTGCTAATACTCATGTTTCTGTTGGCATCGTTGCCCAGGTGCAAATAATTGGTTATATAAACATCTGCAACTCTTCAACATATATTTGTACATGCAATATTTGCTTATCTATTTAGCGTCATTTGCGGACGTGTTCCTCGGTAAAAATATTGCAACATGCCCGATTCCCCTCCACATTTCTCGCATAACGTCGATACCCAGGGTGCGTGAGATCTGTCCACTTTTTAAAAAAAACGAATATTCTGCACAATACAAGACGCAATAAAATGCTGTTTCTGTTTTTCGCTGTCGTTCATGAGAGAGAACAAAGCTTGGCGGGTGAACCACTCGGAATCGACAACGCTGCGGGCACTTGAAAAGGTCCCTATTCTTCGAAATGTGCTTCTCTCCTGCAGTCGCGCTTCAATGCTAGTGTGTTGTAGCATATTCACATTTTCGTCCCAGTGGCATAGCCAAGGAGTGGCATACCAAGCCCGTGCACCCCGACCCCTCACCAAATTTTTTGTCATAGCATACTGAATACGAAATCACACCCACACATGCCTGCTCAAGCCCGACTTCGGATCAATGTGATAAATGATGCCCCCCCCCCCCCCAAATTCGAAAAAAAGTCCTACGCCACTGCTCATGACTGCTTTCGTGAACAGTCCCTCCCCTAGACTTAAACCCAAATCAGTCGTCAGTCGCCTACTGCACTGCCTCTAGGAGTGGACGATTATTGGTTGGAGCATCGGTTGCGTAAACAGAGGATCATCGAACGGCGCCAGCCAAACCACATGAGCACACATGGGGCACTCGCATTCTCGCACTGACGGCCTGATTGCATGCAGATTTACGGCACAACAGAGCACTGTTCTAGTGTCAAACTGATTCCCAGAAAAGCACGCATTAGAGAAAACTTTTATTTCAGGATGCTTTCAGCGAGACGGTTCAGCCCGAAATACACCCCGGGTGTAGCCAGGCTCCACGACTGATGCTTTTGCGCACCTGCCGCTATAGATTTGACTGCACCTCTCCAGGATTTTATGCACGTGCGCAGACTTCCTTGAAAGTACTCGACGTCACGTAGCCAAGCGCTAAACGTAAAGGCTAACGGGCTATTTAGAATGAAGCTTTTTCTCCGGCGAACCAGTGCCCAGGAAGTGAAAGAGATTGAAAGCAATACACTGTGGACACAACACTCTAAAAATGCAGTAAAAAAAGGACTATGACACGCTAGTTATCTTTTGGTACTCACTTGACTCCTCCTGGAAGGTAGACGCCGAAAAAGGGAGTTGCCATTGCAAGCGAGCCATAGAACTCTCGCGAAGCGTGTTTTGATTGCCATCCGTGTTGAAGGCGCTGCCGTAGACGCCTTCGCATTGCATGATTGTCTTCCGGAGTAATTGTGGTGGGTTCGCCGCTCACCTCTTTGACGGGGTCTCGCGCGTTGCTGCCTGTGCCTCCACCTTCTTTGTCTCTATGTCTTTTTTCAAGTCTTTTGAATTCGTTGCGTTGCTTGCACTGGTCGCCTGTCTTGGTACGAGTAAACATACGCATCGTTGGTGGTGGCCACACCAGGCTCCATACTTGAAGTTACGCTTCGAATAAATATTTTGCGCCCCGCCGCAGTGGTCTAGTGCCTAAGGTATTCAACTGCTGACCCACAGGTTGAGGGATTGAATCCCGGCTGTGGCGGCTGCATTTTCGATGGAGGCGAACTGCTTTAGGCCCGTGGGCTCAGATTTAGGAGCACGTCAAACAACCCCAGGTGGTAAAAATTTCCGGAGCCCTCCACTACGGCGTCTTTCATGATCGTATGGTGACTTTGAGACGTTAAACCCCACATATATATATACAGTAAAAGACATTGCAATGTTCATAGACTCTAGCGCTGCCAAGTAGAATTTAGGAGCGCCCTCTATAGAATGATCAGTAGGCAGATGCTCTTTATTTCAGTGGTGCTAGCCCCAGTGTAAGCACGTTAGCAACAAACGAACACAAACAGATTTGTATGTTTCGAGCGTCAGTGAATATGCCGGACCATCCGTGAAGCGATAAATCTGATTCTTTCTTGCGAGACGCGATATTTTCGTGAAAATACCTGGTAACTTGCGCATTCAATTGTATAACGCAGAGCGCTTATATCAGTTTTGCAAGATTTTCTGCAGTCACGTTCAAAAGCTAAATGTTGTCGTCTGGCCTTTGCAGTTGAAACTCATCTTGTTTTACGTGCGTATAGAATTCGTTAGTGCTTTTGTAGTGCATGATTGCCACAACATTCACTGTACGCGAAAAGTAGCGCCGGCTCAATATTTGTTATTCCGAACCTTTGCCAATGCTGCGCCACTTGATTCTTACGTTCGTTGATAGAAGGTAGCACCTTGCAAGCAATTTGACTCTCACAGTGTATCAGAGGGACTTGTTTTCCCCACCCAGATAAACGTGGTGAGTGGCGCCATGTTGGTATTGTGCGTGGTGAGTAACTCGTTGTTGCTGTTTTTGAAGTCGTTATAAAGTGAAAATAATTCCTCAGATTACTTTCAGCAGTGCTGTTCAAAAAAGCCGTCTTTACGTCGAAAATTTTTCACTGGACTTGGAACGCACCGAGAGTGAGAGTGACGATGAACACTCAGCTGCTAACTTGCGAGCAGCGAGTTTCACTTCACGTCTGCTCGTGCGTTAATCAATTTTCACACTCGTAAATCACTTGGATTATATTTATTGTATATTATCCTTTAGCGAACTCAGAGTACATTGCATGTAGCCTGTACATTGCATGTAGCCCAATCACAGTGCATACTACGGAGCGCCGCATGTCGGCAACACGCTCGAGCTGAACCAGTTAAGCGAATTGGTTAGAGCAATCAAACGTGCAGTTACGAGTATACAGTTCACGCTGCTGACTACTCCTGCTCCTAACCAGTACCGTCCGAACAATGCTGTTCGACGAATTTTCACAATTTGGACGTTGCGACAAGTGATATACGCGTGTATTCGTTTTGATGTCCTTGTTACGATCGCGCGGATGGAACGTGCAACATTCGACTGACGTGAATTGAGCACTGCAGGAGTTTAATCTTGACTGTGACAGAAGCGCTACTTAATTTGACAGTAAATGCTTGCGTTACGTTAAACAAGCAACGCAATAATGCTTGCAGTCCAAGTAATAAAGATGGCGAAATATGTTTGCGAACCATCGCTACGTCAAACATTTCTCGTGCAACAGTGGCTGTGTGCTGTGGTCTCGTGCAACAGTGGCTGTGTGCTGCTCGCTAGTGGCCCCCTGTTGCGGCAAATTCATCTGGCTGGCTCGGCTCTAATTATCTCGGACTGTCGTTCAGTTCATGCGTAAATTAGAGTTCGCGTAGTTTTGAGAAGCACGTGAATGATTAAGCTAGGCGTCACTGATGCACGGTCGATCTGCTCACACTATCACCCTTCACCCTGTGGCAGGAAATGTGGTCGTGAACATTTAGCAGATCTTATCGTTTCGGAATGTCCTTTGGTCTGATATCCATTCATTCGACGATCAAGAGTGCATCAGGTGACAGCGGCACGAGACGTAAGTCCACGCGTCCTATCTTTTTCTATACGAGTTCACGGGTTCATCAACCTCCTGCAGCCATCTTGAATCACACTGTGCGCCACCTATAGTCCGTCGGCATAGCGAATGTTCATGCACCTGCCGACACGTTTAACGTGCGACTTTTAATAGTGAATATATTGTTTCTGTAGGTACAATTTACACAGCGCTAGCTGAGCGTCTGCACCAAAACCGCGGAAGTATAGGCTGCCGGCCATTTACAACAGTTGCATGCGTCCGCGGAGCTGTTGCAGATGACCAAATAAAACGGTCACTTGTCAGGCAATGGGAACAGTGTTCATGGCTATACATGTTCTTGATGTCCCATTGTCACCAACAATGCATAGTTTTCTATAATTTTATGCATGTGAAATTTTTTTCTCATCAACACAATACATCTGAAGAAAGTGATAGTGTATAATTTATTGTTTCACAGTTCAATGAATGCATCGGTTTCCAGACACTTTATTTAGTCTCGCATTCCCATCAATAAGAAGGCTTTAGGTCAGACTGAAAACTGCATCACATTATGGTTAAGATTAGGCTTTGAGCAATTTGATGTGCATCAAATGCGACGTTTGGTTAAACATAGCGCATTGAGCGGGGTGAACGCAAGTCAGCGGACTCCAGCTACCGATCACAAAGCCAGGCTTGCAAACGCAGCCGCTGCCAGCGCATTGGGCCGTGCACATCCGAGGCTCCTTGGCCCCCCAGCAAGTTGGCGGACAACGCGATTTGCATGTGGTGTACACCTGGTTTGCGCCGTGACAACTTCTGTGAAATGCTGGGCATTGTTCTGGCCGAACGCATCTGAGGGGTTCGAGAGTTAGGGCAAGGTAGCCTGGCTTACAGACGCATCCCTCACCGGCACAGTATTCGGGGCAGTTTGAAGGGTCTGGGTTCGAGCAGGTTGCAGGGCAGGACGAGCGGCAGAGGGTGAAGTACTGCTTGGGGCTCGGACAACCCGGCAGGCATTGGTGGATGCTTATGCAAGGGCCATTGGGACGTGACCTGAAAAAAGAATGTTAGCGTGTTACTTTTAATGCGGATCGTTTCTTAATCGCACCATGTCATGAATTTGGCGTCGGTGGTGCCATCTACACTCCCACTGAGCATGCACGCGTGTCGTGTTGCATGCTGGCTTCTCGTGCAAACTGTGGCTCCCCTTCCTCTCTCTCGCCTCACAAGGAGACGCAAGCAGCGCCTGCTAGTAAAAAAAAAAATACTGCTTTTCACTGGACACCTCACATATAACGTCACTCAATCGAGCGTTCGGAAATCAGTCATGGGTGCCTTTACTTGGCTTTCACATGGCTTGATGCTTTACTCGACTCAAGTAAATGCGAAGGAAGCAACAGTACCTTCAGCCATTATTGGGGCGCAACTCAACATCAGCTTCCCACCACTCGTTTAAGGCAACGCTCTACCTTTATTGAGTATATAGGAATAATAAAAACAAATAACAATTAAGAATTCCCAAACCATGCCCAATTACGCAACACTCACGCAATACACCCACCACTCTGCGACGCATTTACTCAAGTGCCCCTCAGGGGAACATGCGGGTGGCTTCTTTTCTGACACTTCAAGGCGAAAAATTAATTCCCATTTGACAATACATTAGGGTATATAATCTAGGAACACTAAAAAGCACGCTAGTAGAGTTCTGGCTACGCTAGTAGAGCATAGCGTAACCTTGTGTTTTATAGTAAAACAAGGGGCGGGAAAGGTAAGTGAGTGCGAGAGGGAGAGGTGTTATATTGAGGAGGAAAAAAGCCTGCAAAGGACAAAGTACGTTATAACACGAACAAAGATATGCCACAGAAAGAAATACATGCAGAAAGAGAAATAATGAATGTCAGTGAAGGGGGGCCGAGCGAGAAAACGGATGAAAGAGAAAGAAAGATGCAAATAGCAAGAGAAATGAAGAGAAATAAACATGAAAAAATGGCAAAGTAGGAGAAGACACAAGAGACCAGCAAGAAGAGATACTATAAACATGAACGAAAGGTCGCAAAGCTTAACAAGAAACCGAAAGCGAAGACTACATAAGTACACTTTTCTCCACTGTTTTTTCTGCATTGCGCCCTTTTTCTTGTGTATGCTGCTGTATAGTTATGTGAAGGCTGAGGCATTTCATAAAGGTGCCTTTCCTTTTTGCCTCTCTGTTGTGAATGATATTTGAACAAGTATGACGCCCATATCTCCAGGTCATATTGGTGCATCGGCGTATATTCCTAATCATATTCGATTTCCTTCAAGCGCAAGGCAGGCTGTGAACAGTAAAATTGAGGCGATCAACTGGAGACGTACCGAATATAACCTGGCCGGCAGGCGCACTCTTCATAGCACGTATCGGGGCAGTTCGTGTCTATAGGCTGGTTGCATACGAGGGGGCACTGCGATTCGCACAAGTTGTAATCCATATTCATGTGATGCTTGTTCATGCAGTGGTGGCACTCGGCGTGGCTTATGCAGTCGCCCCACGAGTTGCGTAGGTACCCTGGAGCGCAGACACAGTCTGGGCGCAGGCGCCGCACATTCTTCCACGTTGTCTCGGGGTGACAGAAGCGGTCCCTGTGGTGGCCACGGTTGGGTATCTCATGATGACCACAGTGTACCATCTTCACGTGATCTGTTTCATGAAAGTAGCGAATGCAGCGGCAACAGTATTCAACTTGACGTTTTGATTCGTTTTAACAACAAAGCTGCTTGAGCTTGGCAAAGTTATTTGGGCTGACTCCGAAAACTCACTAATAAGCATGCACATCACCGCAGCCCCGTCGAAACTGCTGTCGAGGCCAGCTGGCAAGCTTAATGAAAACCTCGGTACTCCTACCATAAATGAGCCAACGTGTGTCTCTGTCATAGCATCTTCGCGGTACCGTGAAAGTAGCTGCTTGGAATTCTCGCGCATTTTAGTGCGAAACAAGTACTTTTTTTCAAAATCTGTTTTATTGTTTTCTTGTACAAGGCACAAGAAACAAAAGGAAGTTGGGGCTAAAGGCACATAGCCTGACAGAGGACCCAACACCCTTGTACACAATTCGTACATCAAAAAATAAAAACAAAAAACACTATAACAACACTATAATACTAACGCTGGAGCCGTACAAGTTGTTCTAACTGTTCAGCTAATTTTATGAACTGTCAGTCATGCTACGCATCTGCGACCATTCTCGAACTTTCGTATCATAAGGAATATATGCTTTCGTGTAGGATATATAAAAATTTCGTTTTGTTACCGCCACATGCTTCTCATAGCACTTCTGGCTGAAAACTAACTGAATAACAACGTCTACATCAATCATAAGCAAAAATAAAAAGCTTTCCTAAAAGGACATGTTACGATTCTGTGTTATTGAGTTGAAGCATGCTAAGTGTTCCCCTAGGCATGCTATTCATATTCTTCAGTGACTACATTCACTATTTACAACGAAAAAAAGCGTAGTATAGTTGCCGGTGCTCTACACGACATTTTACAATACCAAAATTGTGAGAAACAACGAATACGCAACCCATCTCGAAGAATGTAATTTTGCAAAACAATTTGGCAGATCCCACGTGCTTTGGGGGGTCGACGTTACCCCGCCGCGGTGGTCTAGTGGCTAAGGTACTCGGCTACTGACCCGCAGGTAGCGGGATCGAATCCCGGCGGCGGCTGCATTTCCGATGGAAGCGGCAATGTTGTAGGCCCGTGTGCACATACTTGGGTGCACGTTAAAGAACCCCAGGTGGTCCAAATTTCTGGAGCCCTTCACTACGGTGTCTCTCATAATCATATGGTGGTTTTGGGGCGTTAAACCCCACATATTTATCTATCTGAGAATAAATGTTATGCGAAGCATGCGGAAAAAGGTGAGTGTATCGCAATTTTTTATTGAGCTACACGTCATGAACTGACGCTAAATATATGTACAAATATTGCATGCACAGACATATGTTGCAGATTTTCATATAAGCAGCTGCTTGCACATGCGCAACAATGCGACCCGTAGATGCGTAGTAGCAAAACCAGAATCTTATATCAAGCGCTGATGCTCGCGAAGATGCTCGCCCTGGACACTGCTGCGCAAATCAACTTCAGCATACGGCAACTAACCACACTTGACGTTAACCTGACGTGACGGCTGTATCAAAAGAGTACATAGGTAGTGCTTATAATATTTAATAGGCAGCACTGCAACCGCTATTGACGTTTCACCAAGATTAGCGCCTATTTGAAAAGTAGTTTCGAGACCTGGCGTAGCTCAGTGGTGGAATGCTTCATTGCCACGCATAATGCATCAGGGTGATTCCAGCTGCGACCGTAACATTTACTCTTTGCAGTCGCCGGGTCAACGCCACCGATGTCGGGTATTTGTTAACTCTCACGCGTTAAAAAAATCGCAGATCCCACGTACAGTGGGAATCGATGATATGCGAAGCACGAATAAAAAATGTTGGTATGTCACCTTAAGATCGACACAACGTTACGAGGTGGAGGTACATGCCGTACATAACTTCCGTTTCATGATTATCATGTTTGGATGTGTCGTTTACCTTCGTCATCTATTCACGTCACGTGATACCAAGTTTAGTATATGTTGAGCTAGCGAAACGGCCGCGGGCACGCTATGAGCGTGGTATGTTCTCATTTTCTTACATGACACGCGTGTCAGGATTATCATGTTTGCACCAGTCATTCATTTTGTCATTCATTGACGTCACTTAACATTTAAATCGGTATTCCGGAGCTAGCAAAACGGCCGTCAGCGCATCATGAAGGGCCTAATATACTCGAATGTAGCGTTCACGCGCGTGCACGCTGGGCACAGCAACGCTACGTTAGCAAAACGCGAGCACTCTATACTCTCACGCCAGGCGCGACCAGCGTCCGTCGGCGCGGCCCACCAAAAACCGGCGCGAATTGCGACATGCTGCATTTCGTGCCGACGCGTTACCCAGACAACACTGCGTCTTCCTCTTTTCCTGACGGAGGGACGCCGGATGCGTTGAAGCACGCATGCGTCAAAGCAACGTGGCGTGGCGCGCGCCTGCGGGTTTATGGCAGGACCGGTGCCTGGCATGGCAACGCCGGAGTGACGCGACGAAATGAACGCCGGCGAGCACGCACACCGCGTCACGTCGAAATCTATTGGTGCCTTGAGTGTGGCATGTAGCCATGTTCTCACATGACACGCCTCTCATGTTTATTAGGTTTGCACTAGTCACATACCCTCGCCAACCATTGGCTTCACGTAATACCAAATTTGGCATATGTGAAGCTAGCGAAACGGCCACGGGCACATCATGAGTTTGGCATGTACTCATGTTGTTACATGACGCGCATGTCACGATTATCATGTTTTGATGTGTCATTTACCTATGTCGTCCGCTCGTGTCACGTAATGCCGAGTTTGGAACATGGGAAGCTAGTGAAACGGTTGCGAGCGCATCATTAGCGTAGCAAGTAGTCATGTTGTCGCATGACACGAATCTCATTATTATCATGTTTGCACCCGTCACATACCTTCGTCATCCATTCACGTACCGTAATACCAAATTTGGTATATGTGACGTTAGTGAAACAGCGCGAACGCGTCATGAGCGCGGCATGTAGTCATGTTGTTACATTACATGCATGTCATGGTTTTCATTTTAGAGTCTGTCACTTGTGTTTGCCATGCAATCATGTCGTACCATACCAGTTTAGCAACATGCCACGGGAACGAAACCACCGCAAGAGCTTCAGGACTATGACATGTAAATCCGGACATTCATGTCATACATGTCATGATTTTCATGTTGTGACTAATCAAGTATGTTCCTCATTCAGTCATGTTGTGCCATACCAAGTTTGGTATCGATACCATTATTGAAACGGCCAGGAGAGCTAAAAGTTGTAAGCGGCTAGATAGATATGTGGATAGATAGATACGCTCAAAGTCGCCGAAGTATACTAAGAAATGCTTCGCATTTAAAATTGCCCATGTGCGTTCTCGTCCATCCTTGGTAGATACTAAGTGTCAATAACCTGTGGTACATACACGCAGATCAGTGGCACATACATTCTAGCCCGTGGGTATGTGCCACTGACTGGCGGAAAGTGTTTGACGACGTACCCAACCATTGACATTTCTCATGTTTTGACCAGGGCGTCATTTTCGTCAAATCATCTTACCCTCCCATGATAATGTTGGTTCACGTAAGGGGTGATCAAGAGCGCACACAAACGTACGCGGATAAATAGGTACGCTCAATGTTGCCGAAGTTTACTAAGAAATACTTCGCATTTAAAAGATAAGACAAACGAACAAACACACAATCCTTTGTGGCATTTCGTTCGTCTCGTCTATTTTGAACTGTTTTTGCCTTTTGCAATGCGTGACCAACTTGCCCAGCAAAACACAATTTTAGGATTTATGTTTTGAATATCTGTAGTTGTGGGCTGCGAGTACGCCTAAAGGCATGAATTAAGTAGTATTTGCCTGAAGATGGAAGCCATAAGAAATATATTTAAACACCAAAATATGATGGTCCTTTTGTTTCAATCAAGATACTTTTATTCCAGCTTTCTGCAGTTGTGGTTACAGTTAGCAAAGTCATGAAAGAGAGGCTGCAGGCTACAAGAGCATGCTAGTGTCAGCAGCCACTAAACAGTAGACGCCTGTACCTGAGAGTGTCGAAATGGCTAAGCAAAGCTGAAGTTTCTGACAAAAACTACACTTAAGATCAGTTACGCTTAGACGAGCTGTTGTTGTATTGCACAAAAAAGCACCACTGAATAATATTTATCATATATAGTTACCAGGAACGCCATCTACGATGCTCGATGATATCGCAGCTGACGGCAACTTTACGTTTAATGGAATAGAACGCTTTCTTCGTCGTTGTCCTAGCGTTCTTCTCAGGGAGTCTGCTCTTCGTGACAAACGTGTTATGAAGCCTGCGAACAAAACCGGTGGAAAATTACGAAATGCCTTCATGCACAATGGTGTTCGTTTCGAAATCGTGCAGCTATTACATAAGATCAGGTACTTTGGTCGCACTCTCTAGTTGCGAGTGCGCAACCGGCAATGATAATAAGTGGGTTAACTCTACCACCATGCATAACACATTTTCGTTCATAAAAACTCCATTAAATTATTCTTGCATAATGTGTCGTTGCCTGAATGACCCATGTACGGTTTTGGTAGTAGCCCCAGCTCGGTTTCACCACCATTTACAATCGCAGTTATAATCAGCGTCATTTGCAGAGCTGGCATTCTCTGCTTTTCAAAATTCCTTAATCATGACATTTAATTAGACTATCAATATGTCTTGACTTCAAATATGGTTTTAGAACTGCCTCATTTTACTTTTTCGCTATATGTTGCAACTTTTCTCTTGCATTTCTATCGCGAAATTGGTGCACAGCCTTCACGCAAGCTTATGTATTGAGCACTCACACTCCGCAAAATATTCAAGAGCACTTCTCACACCATCCTTCTCTGCTTTCACCTTGCACTCTTCAATTCGAGTTAGTTACCGAGGGAAGTATCATTTTTTCATCACTTATAACTTTTTGTGAAATGAGGTCTTTTTTCTTTCATTTCATATCTCTTCACCTCACATTATTACATTTCAATTGTATATTACTCGTAATGACCCCTGTTCTTTCGCCTTGGCTGCATTGATGACACTTCAGAACCTCTGCATTCTGGCTAACAAATAGAAGGTTAGAGGTAGAAACGAGAATTGAAAAGATGCGTGCAGTTTACGAAGGCTGTCGCAGCACTATTTCTCATGCCTCAGCCATGGTATTACCAACATTTGTGATAATGTTGCGGAAGGTTGTGAGTTTTTATGATGAAATTGCACGCTACTACAGCTACAGACGTTCTGAAATTGAGTAGCCAGTGATTATGCTGAACGTATGTTTCTCCAAGTACACTAATACCGAATCTCGAGTAGATTAGTTTTAAGATGAATAGCTATCGTGTGATCACGCTGTGAACTACGCTAATTGACGTCTTTCAATAACAGCATCCATCTAGGCTTCAGTGCAGAATACAAAAAACCTGAGTCGGTCACTCAACAGAAAAGCATGTTAATATAGCACATGGATAATTCTTTTTATCGCCACTGTTTCTAATCCGAATTTCCCGCTAAGGTATTTTCGTCCCTTCAAACGTTGCATTTATTTGTATTTCGGCAGATTTGGATTACTTGTTTTAGCGACGTGACAAGAGCTTCAAGCTTACGTCTGCTTGTGCGTTCCAACCTCCTGCCAGCCCTGCTGCCTTGTAACAAACGGAGTCCGGTTCCAGCAAGATCACTGGCCACAGAGCCAATGGCTCCGCGAGCTAAATTGCCCAACGCTGCAAGGATATTGAAAACACTCTGAAAGACACAGCAAACACACGTGCAAATGTTTAGGCTCTAAACAAATCAAGGCTAACAATACCAGTAGTATCCAGCAGGACAGTAGGAAAAGAACGAAACCAAAAGGCTTAAGGCTGATTCGATAACCAAAGAGCACCTGCATTCTTTGCCACTCTGAGCTGACAGATCGAAAAACGTGAAAAGAAAGATAAGAAAAAGAGAAGGTAGGGAGAGGGTAAGAAGAAAATCACAAGTGAAGTTGACGCGCGTAGAACTCCCCACCTATTATCCAGTTACTATGCTACACTTAAAACGGTACATCTATTAACTTATATACTTTCACTCAGTTTATTATCGGACCGGTTATCGTTGCGGCTGTGTGAAAGAATGAAGCAAGCTTCCACAATCCCCATCTTTCATTTGCTTGATACGTTCGCAACTCGTGGATTATGAACACTTCCCTGTTACTTCCGGCAAGATATATGAACAAGTAACCGGTAGTAGTCAACTGCGTTTTCAAGCGGTGCACGGTCAGAGTACATCCCATCTTTGTGTCAGTTAGAAATTCCGCGGAAATGCGGCTTCTGTTGAATAGTACAGTTTACTGATCATAGGTATGCCGTCAGCAGGCACGGCTTTCCGGGTGAACACTACCACTGCACACTCTGCACGTGAGATGTCTACCCCTTACTTACGAAAGTAGCTTGACAAGACCTTGTTTAAAAAGGCGACAAGGTGGCATGATAGTGACAGCTTTCTCAAGCCGGGCACATAAATGAAGGCATGCCACACTTGATGCGGCATGCCTGATTAGTGTAAATAGATGTTGTATTTTTCTTGTAACTTGTTGACTAATCGAATAATCGTTAGGCTGACAAGTGCCGCACCTAATACCTTGAGTAACTTTCACCTGCCGTAGCATTCCGATTTCGTGTAATCTTCTGTGAGCACGAACAGTGATCCCGCTGCTGAGTACCTTCTTACCCACACATAGAACTTAACACTACGAAGTGTAGTAAAAACCACGCAATAGCGAGGCCACACTGATCTCGTGTTGTCCCTCTTTGCCTTTCATTCCTCGCCTTCCGTACGCTTTTCTTCCACCACTTCGTCCTTGAGCTGCAACACCTATTAACATGGAGCACACCAAGGTAACCATCGCCTCACAACAACGGCGTTGAAAACATTAGTGGGTACCACACGATGCACCATAGTCGGAAAACAAGACTGAACTTAAAGGAAACCTAAATGCTTCTTGTGTGATTAACCAGGAACATTCACTGATCGCATGACGCGCCTAAACGTTCCTATGTATAGCGGTCAAATTAGGCGTCTTCCATTCGCTACGAGATGTTTTAATTAGGAACAGAAGGATTCGCAAGCTTAATATGAAATGCGTTATTATTGTATGTCGCTGGCCACAAGTGTACATGAACGCCACCTGTCTGTTGTTATAAAGGCAAATAGAACATACTGAACTGTCCTTCAAGACCAGGCTAGTTTTAGGACTGAATAGCAGTACCTGTGAGTGAAGGGACCAATTTTTTCGCCTGATCTGATTGTTTGTTTTTAATTTTCAACATCAACAGATACTATGGTAATCAACGATCATAACATGAAATTAGGTCATTTCGACTATTTAGCTTACGGCTTATGTTCAATAAGCCCTCGAACGGTCCGCTTCTTGAAGACAAGCCGCCTCTTCCAGCTCCTCTTAATGCTCTTCCTTCGCCTTCACCTGTAACAAAGAGGCGGGAAGAAAGAAACACGTGTGTTGTAACAACAGATGACGTAGACAGATTACGAATGCAGCTGTGAGTACCGCGGAACTTTCAAGAGTGTGACATTACACCTGTAAAACTCATCAGAAGGATCCAGTAAATATTTGAAGAACTCTCCAAGAAAGATTGCGACACGGTATCTCAGTGTGGTCACGTGTCATCCTGTGACTGAACTGAAGTAACTAATCATGTGCTTTTTGAAGCACATTACGAAGATTGAAGCTGCACAGCCACTTACAAGACTGGCAAGAGGCAGATAATTGCAGTTTCTATTTTTGTACCAACTTTCCTTTCTTCCTTAACATTTATCCACAGAGCCGATGGCTGAAGAACACTTGAGTGCAAGATTTTCACTGAAGCACAACGTTCTAGAAGTTTGATGTCATTGCTAGGATACACATCATGAGGATTCTGATATTCGTTAACAGCCATTGAGTTTTCTTGTTATCTGGATCAAGCCAATGAAAAAGGTTTGTTCGTTAATTAATCGGACAATCACCCAAGAGATGGCAGACAATAGTTAAGATCATATTTGTGTCAAACGTCTTCGAGTAAACTGAGCAGAGCCGTGCTTATAGCGAAAGAATCGACATCACGCGTTGTTGTTGAGTTTATTTTGAGTGCGTTCCGCGCTGTCTATCTAAAGTGTACATGAGTTCCTGAGGAACTAAGTCACCTCTGGCTTAGTTGCAGTTGCTAGGTTCAGGACATCAATGATAAAACAATCACACACTGCACGATCAAAAATTTTATGCTAAGGGTCAAGGTGCAGCGCACCTAGCACAGGACCAGAAAAAACACATATGAGTTCACGTGCAAACAAACGCGCCCACACTCGCGCATCCTCTGGTTATCAATTCGGTGCTCCAAGCCCCAATTTTACACGCTTTTTCATACAACAGGCTCAGCTTACCGCCTTCATCAAGACACCGTGCTTCCAACACACGTGGTAAAAGCAAGTTTTATAGGGCTGAGATATCAAATCTGACATGCCCCACGTATATGAAGCTTACCTCAACAATACATTGAAAAACATGTCCTTACAAAAGAGCTGCTAGTTTATTATGTAAGGCTCCCTAAATTCAACGATCTGAAGTCATGGAACACACACACAGTCATGGAGCACAAAATATACGTGGTAAAAGACGAGATGTATGGCTTTCATATATCACCAACCAAAATGTAGACAAATGAGAAAATATTTTTGTAACATTGGAACCTTCGAATGCCTGTGCTAACACATCAAACTAGAATAATTTCTACAACTGGCATTTCGTCAATAGATATACATTGATAGTGCAAGGATGAGTTTTAATGTCCAAGAATTGAGATTTATTATGTGAAAGGCCGTACCTAAGCAGGTCCGGAAATTTAGACTATCTGGTGTTCTTTAACGTGCACTTATGTCTAAGAACATAAGGTTCAATCATTTTTGTCTTAATTGAAAATGAGGCCATTGTGGCCGCGATTCTATTCCGAGACTTTCAGGTCAGTGGTCGAGCACCCCTTAGACAATCATATTGTGTGTTCGCCAAAGGATCCGGACCCTATAGAAACTATTAAATTCGGTCCTATGTCACTACAAAATCGTCTCACCATAGTATATTGCATTTAATAATTACTTCGATGTCAATATCACAAAGAATTCTATTATTCGTATCCATAGACAAATTTTTTCTATTGTTCACTTCTCTATTGCGAAAAATTAGACCTCTTGACAATAATCTACAATACTACCCAAGAAGCAATAACTAATAGCACATGGAAACATTTTTTTTTCACCAGGCTTGGGAGCATAAATTTATTCACGTTTCATTAGTAGTTATAACGTACACATCTCAGTACCACCAGCTACAATGCCCAAATAAACACATCACCGATTGCTGAAGTGTACAATTTGGGAGCGTTTTTTTTTTTCTTCATTCGAAATACTTACCTTCTTCTTCCGGACTTTCTCCACTGCTGACCCGTCCGGCCCCTCCTCCCGGCATCCCTAGTGATGGCGGTCCCCGCGAGGGCATGTTGTTCCAACGATGACCACCACTTGAAGTGGTGCGGCTGAAGTCACCACCAAAATTACCACCACTGAAATGACCTCCACCAAAACCTACTCCACCGAAATGACCATCGCCAAAGCCGCTACCGCCATGTCCACCGAAACTTGTTCTCGGAGGTTGCCCAGCCTCTCCGCTGAAGCCACCGCCGGAACCTACACGTGGGCCTGACGGCGATCTGCCTGTTCCTGTGGAATTTAATCGAACACATTAAGACGCACTTTTTGGTTGGCGTACAGAGAAATTACACTGAGCAGCTTTATAGACTTTCGTCTTGGGCAACGTGGTATAACTGCACTTTATAGTTCCTTTAGTTACTAGTAAAAATGGCGATTCCGCAGGAGACTTCGACAAGACCTTGCGCTCTGTCTTGTTGCTTGCAATTGCAGTACGTGTGTTTTAGTGCTTAAAGAAGATACAGTATAAAAAAGTAACAGAAAGCATGTCCATACAGACCACATTTCGCTCCTCTCTTTTGCGTTTCCAAGAAATTTCTTTAAAGACCGATCGTACCGTCTATATTGTGATGCGAAAAACCGTAAGAAAGCTATGCAGTTCACGCTACAACGTTTTCTTCAACAAAGAGTAATTCCTGTGTCTTGACACTGCCGCATTTTGCCAAAGCATAACAAGAGTATCAAAACTTTATGCTGGTAGTAAAGCATTGTCATAGGATGGTATCGAGCTGATAATCAGTTGCATTTTCTTAAAAAAAATAAATACCAACTGTTGATTACAAATCAGTAAATCTTGCAAAGTATCTACTGCACGTGTGCTGTGTTTCTCATCTATAGAAGCAACAACCACTTTTTTCTCTCCTCCTCCTCAATAATATGAAGTATATCGCTCTTCAACTAGTACTAAAGAAAGGCCTCTATGTCGCAATATATGCATAAGTTTATCGTGTATACTGTCAATGAAAGAAATATACTACCTAAAGTTTGGACGTTTTTTTAATATCTATCAAAAGTAAGCTCACCTTCCTCTACTGAATTTTCTCCACCTCCGAATCCACCAAAGCCGGTATTACCGAAAGGACCGCTCGTCATACCAGCTTCATTCAAACCGGCACCGCCGAAGCCATTGCCCATGCCTCTAAGTCCAGGAAACATTGGTTGCGAAGGCTGTCCAGCTCGTCCATTGATGCCACCCCGTAAACCACCAGTGAGATGTGTTGATCTTCCAGCTTCTGGGAAATGAATTTCAGGCGACACAGAAAAAACTAAGGCGATAGGTGAATGGAGAGTCAGTGTGCAGAGAAAAAATACACAAATCATAACAGTGTGCCACATTTTGGTCTTTTCACGCGGCGTCTTCTCAGTGGTTCGAGAGTAAGCAGAAGCTCGATTTTACGTTCTGTGAAAAGCCTGAAAACGACATGCCTCTCTACGCTGCTATATTTCATTTGCATATTTGTGCATGTAAGACGCTGTGGCGATGCCCTTGACATGGGTCGACTGTTGACCGGTGGACTATGACAATTATGACAATCGATGATGTCATCAATTGCCTCATGTGGTGAAGTGGCCAAGCAATCTCACGAAGTGGTCAGTTATTTTGACGTTCTATGGTAGCGTCACCTGATGAAGTCGCACTATAACGCCGTCGGTCGATCGAATGAGAACACGTGGATATTGAAGGAAGCTTCACTATGAGATACACTCACGTGGATTCTCACAAAGCGCCACGTAAGCCTCACTGACGGAACCACTAGCGTAGTTAAATAAGGCTTGCGCAAAGCAGTTTGTCGCCATGAAGTCATGTCAGCTCAGTTTCTCACTCATGGGCAAGGTACTCCCATGCATCGTATGCTAATTGAAGAAGTTCAGTTGCCTTGCGCGAGGCACTGTCGTGTAAACTGCAAGCAGGTGGTGGTTTATGATTTTACGTCATTGTAACTTTGCTATAGGGTAAACCTTACAATAAATACCCTTGTAAAAAATATATTTCATGCAATAAAAAAGGCCTCCGCTAGAGGCTGTTATAGGCCTCTGCTGAGAGGCTGACGTAAACTTTTTTATCAGCGAATGCTTCTTTCATATCCTGAAATACAGAAATAGTGATCTTATTTGAGCTCCCTAAGTGGTATGGCTTTAATGATCTATTTTTATTATTTTGGCAGTTTCGGTTTCAATTTGATTTCGATGCTTTGTTACTTCTAATAAAGTGTACAGCAACGTCTCTATTCGTAAGTATTTCATACACTAACCTCCAATTTCACCACTAGCTGAACCATATAAGCCACCCGATCCGATGCCAGTAGGAGTACCTCCAGTTCCTCCACCTGTGTGTGTAACAGGGAAGATTAACTTAATGAAAACTCTGGTCCCAAACCAATAATGTGGCAATGTATCTCTTGAAGAGCGATGTGGAGCCATTGGCCTTAATATTCAATAATTTTTGTTACGCTTGCACAATGATGCTGAAAAATGTAAGTGATCCAAGCTAGAGAACTTCATGAGTGAGTAGAAATATTGTTTGTTGTCATTGCCTACGTTCGTTGTCGTTATCATTACAGGCCCTTTTTAACTTGCCAACTGGGTGATCACTTCCAACGTGCTTAATGCTCACAGACTAGTACCTAATTGACCTTACGGCTTCAAAAGCAACCAAGTGCGAAGATTACGTGCTCTACAAATTATGTTGAAACGGTAAGTACATCGAATCCTACAATAAAATAGTTTATTAGTTCGCTGAATTCTGGCGTGTGTTGATTTTACGCGTGCAAAACAAAGTACAATCATTTTGTTTGTCTTAAATACGTTTATCACTAATACCAACTGGTTTATACTAATCCATCTCGATTCCGTGTCGCATATTGCATTAATACGCGTGTACGAGACTGTACGCGTTGTGTGTTTATCGCTGTATATTATAGTAATCACCCAGCACCTAGAGTTGCATGCGAGGTGACAAACCAGGCAAACTTCTCGAGCTTTCCATTGAAACAATTTTCTCTCTCTTTATGTATTACGTAGAACTAACTACACTAGGTACGTAAGTGAAACCCTTATTTTCATATTTTGTTTGATTGTGTTCGTACTCCCACTCGCTGAAGAGCCTAAGCGGTTCAGTGATGGTGACATTGAACTGCAATAAACGAGGTCGCAGGCTTGATTTATGTTGCCAAAGGTGGCATTTTGATGAACTCAAAAAGCTGAAACTATCATGTATTCAATATTAATAGCAGGATACTCAATCTATGATAGACCGAAGTGATCCATATTTCACACTCTCCTGAGGCTGTGCAGCCATTTCGTTGTCTGACACACGTGCCAAAATCCAGCAACAACTTGCTTTATGATGCCAAGAAATTATTTAAAGAGTGGCCGGCAATTTCATAGCCTTATAATCATTACCGTTACAAGTCTTCTAAACCGAGATTGTCAAAGCTTGAAGTAGTGACACTGGGGCCAATTTTAAACCTAGGTGTCCCCACACCCAAAGGCGTGGGCAGAAATTTTTTCAGAGTCAGGGGGGTAGCCCCCCTTCCCTTGAAATGGTAATATTACAATGCGCATGCCAAGGCTAAAAAAATTCGGGGCGTTGGCCCTCTGTGGCTTTCCCTGGCTGTGCGGCCGTTCATACTGTTTGGCGTTGAGGTACAAGGGTCGTCAGAAGCTCGCAGGAATTACTGCCATAAGACCACGTGTGCCAGCGCACTTTGAACTTTTGACCACCCTGTACCCACATTTGTAACAGCAGTATCAGTATCTAATGGCATCGTCGAAGTCGACGAATGTGGTGTGCACCGCTCCTTGCCACCTGCTTCGAATTTCATTGCCTGTCACCGGGCGCTGTATGTGCCGAGCTTTTTGTGACTCGCCATTGCTTTGTTCATACATTTGGTGACCGTCTCAAAGGTCTGGAAGTTTCTTTCTCCCAAATAATGTAAAGGGCTACCCTTTTGTACATACTTTTAAATTGTACAAATTATACTAATATTGTTACCTAGTATACGCTTTTGTGGTGACCTGCATCATCGGAATGAAGGCCAGATACAAGGCACTTCGTAAGTATATCTGAAGTGTGAAGATGGCGTTTGATATATTATATATAATGTATAACGCGTGCGATGCTCGAGCATGGAATGTCTTATTCGAAGGCCGTAGGTTCGATTACTGCTCACGGCAAGTTATTTTTCACCCACTTTTCTTTTTTTCCTATTTACATTACATTGGTTCTAATAACTTCCTATACATTTTTTGGCATTATTGTCTGTTAGATCTTATATATATATATATATATATATATATATATATATATATATATATATATATATATATATATATATATATATATACTTATTTATCTCCTTTACTTCAGCTTTTGCTCCCCCCTTCGTTTATAACTTGGGGTGGGGCAACGGTGGCCACTGCCCCCCCCCCCCCCCGCAGTTTCGGAGCCCCTGCCAGATAGCCATCTTTGAAGGCTGCTGAGCATCTCAACAAAAGTACAGGTAAACTAAAGCCCTGGCGAAGACACTTTTGTCGATACTACCTCTAACACCGTTGGGCACCGGCTCAAAAAGCCACGTAACGACGTACAAACGTGCAACAATAACTTCAGAGTTGTGTAGTGCCTTTCCAACATATTGCTCTAAATATTTGTCTACGCATATTCGCCTTTTTGTGCGCGATGACAATTTTTTTATTCCCATAATGAGAACAATAGTTTAGGTCAAGACGCTACATACCTTCGATGCCGTGACCGCTTATGCCAGATTCCACGCCACCTAAGCCTCTGTTATTATTAGGTAGTCCATTTTCTCCGCTGCCCCCTGCACCAGGTCATATATGTGAAAATTTCACTCGAATACCACCCACCCTACCTCTATACATTTGTCTGAAGGGTTTGCCGGGCTTTACGACCCATTCAGTCGATTGGCATCTGCCCTGATGGTCTCGTTCACACCATAATGTCTTTGAAAATCTGCTTATCAAGTGCATATTTGTTTATTTGAAATTTCTCTATACGAAACACATGGCTAGCGGGATAACAATTGGGGATTTAGCTAGCGTCTAAGAACATTGCATACGAGTGTACGTTGTTGAGCGCCCAATAGCTTTTACGTGAAGAGCCCTAAGCTTAACCTGAGGCAACCCAAGGGGACTTATTAACTGCTAACACTTGATTATCTCTTTGTCTTCAGCTTTTGCTCCCTTTTACCGTGAAGTAACCTATTCAGTTTGTCTGCGTTTTTAGAAGATTTCATGGTGCTAGTCAGCTGCTAATTTGAATGTGCAGAATACATATGCAATGAAAGGGACATTAAGCAGAGCTCCAGAAACTAGAGGTAACCGCCCCATATTTGCTTACCTTCCAATCCGCCACGCCATAAGCCTTCTCGAGAAGCGCTGCCGCCACTTGACAGCCCAGGCATTACGGGGCCTCCGTGTGGCCCATTTCTGATTCCAAGTTCTAAAACAACAGGAAGAAGTCTCTCAGTTCGAGTAGCTAGAATGCCTGTCTCTGAGTGTTCGGGGCGAGAAAGATTTATTACAAAGTACATAGCACAGCGAATCACTAGAGCCATGCCCATAAGGCAACATCAATGTGGTTTATAGCCGACAAAATAAAAAAGCGTAGCGAAAACCTACACCAGCGTAACTTCATCCTATTCATAATGTAAACCCCCTTCTAACGTGTTTTTGAAATACTGTAGTGACTACACACATTTCTGCTAAGTGATTCTGGCACTCTTTTCCAATATGTGATCTAGGAGCGCTATTTCCTATTTTAAAAAGAAATCTACTCATTTAAAAGAAAGAACTATTAAGCAGGTACATTATGGTTGCTTGCTCCTTGCTACAGAAATTTTGACAACTCTCACCTGCGATGCCCTTGTGGCACCAACCTGTTGAGATAAAAACTAATTGCTATGGAAGCACCAGCAGGATGTTTTTTTTTTCTGCATCAAACTTCCTGTATTCCTTGCTTCCTCAATGCAAAACACGCTGGACAGTCAATACAGGAAACAGCAACACAGATATTTCATTCACTGGCACGTGTTTTGCCTAGAAGGGCTCCATATTCAAGATGTCCTCATAGAATCTTCGTCAAGGGAAGCTTTTGTAGCATGTAGAAGTCA